TATATATATATATGTCAGTTTCAGTTAGTGTTGCATGTTAGGGCTGACCACTTGGGAATGGATAACCTATCACAGAGCTCATCCCTGGAAAAAACTAATTCTCCCTCTCTCAGCAGCCATTGATTACTTGCAACTCTTGATCCAAGGGTGGGGCCTTATAAAATTTCCTCTATCCCTGTTGGCCTGTTAACTGGTGTTGTCATTATGCAGGTCTTGTTTAGGCAGTCGTATTGTTGATATTTCACAGGTGCAGCTTCCCTGGCATGTTTAGAAGACATTATCTAGCAGCAGGCTCCTACTCCTCTGGCTTCTACAATCTTTCCGCCCCTCCTTCCACGATGTTCCCTGGGCCTCAGGTGAGGGGTTCTGCTCTATTTCTGTTTTGTTTTGTTTGTTGCAACAGATAGGGACTGTTTACAGAGATCCACAACTGATCAAAAATGAAGAGATAAGTGATCATAAGGTGCCCACGCCCAACTGATGCATCTACAATGCCTACATATTTTATAAAAATAATCTAAGTATGTTGTTTTAAAAGGAAAAAAAAAAGAAGCTTGTGGGTTCTTGATTACTCTCAAAATATTTTGACCATAAACATAAAATAAATGCAGGAAACCAGAATTTGAAAACTCAAGGACAAGAGAAGTAAATATAAGCAGTGGTTAAACAAGCGCAAACTACTTAGGAGTGTACACATATAAATCTAGAGTCAGAAAAAAGCTGTAAGTCAGATGCCAAGTAGACAAAGAAAATCAAAAGAAATCCAATGTCATGGGAGTTACTAGAAATGCTAAGTAGGAAGTAAGGAGTCAAAAAGGAAAACCAGGCTGGAGAGATGACTCAGCAGTTAAGAGCACTAGGTGTTCTTGAAAAAAACCCAGTTTCAAATCCCAGCACCCACATGGCAGCTAACAACCGTCTGTAACTCCAGTTCCAGGGGATATGACACCCTCTTCTGTCCTCTGTGGGCACTGTATGACATGGGTGAACTTAAGTACATACAGGCATAACACTCATACACATAAAATAAAAATAAATAAACTTATAAGGGAAAACCAACCAAAGCATCTTAACCTATATTGTTCATTGCACATGTGATGGGCATTTAATAACATTATGTGACTCAAAAACAGAATTCTCCTTGACTTTTGCTTACTTTTCCTATAATAGTACTCACATTCACATATTCTCGAGTTTAAGAAAATACAGTCTGCTAGACTGTAAAATATACATAATCTCAAAGACTGAGCAGACTAAGTTGATCTTGCCTAATCAGTAAACAGAAACTAGCAAAGGTCTCAAATTTTTGGAACTGCTATTTTGATAATGAACATCAATACTCCTTCATTTATTTGTAATGTAAAATAATTAGGAAGCCAATAAATATCTAAAGTTTTTGAGAGAACTACAAGCAGGTTTCTAATGGAAGGGTGAAAGTACTATCAGTGGAGAAAGGAGACTTCAAGAGAAAACACACACACATGAGAAAGGG